CAGCTCCTTCCTCTCCCCTTCTGTTTGATCTGTTCTCCACCACATTAATGCAGAGTGTGCACAAACAGGTACATACCTATGCCCAAATAAACACCCACCTGCACCCACATAAGTGCCACCTCTCCAATGTTCCCTCACCCCTGGGACCTAACTCAATCTCTTTCTTTGTTTTATTCCCATAGTTATAGCCTATATCACGCAAGTTAGTCTCTACTTATGTGTTGGTTACTATTGTTTTATGGTTCATATTTTATATTTATATAGTTTTATACACCTGACTCGCCTTCCTGGTTGTAAGCTCCTTGAGATCAGGAATCTTTGTTTTCTCATGGATCTCTCTTATAGCCCTTATCATATTGAGAAACATGTAGTAAGTGCTTCCTAAGTCTTAAAACTAGATCGTATAGAGCAGAAAAGTACCTCAGAAAGTATCTTGTCTAGTGCCCTTTATAAAGGCACTAGATGAAGATGAAGGCCGTCTTCATTGTGACAGAACTGAAAAGTAGTGGACCCTGAACTAGAACCTGTGCCTATTACCAGGCCACCTTGACTCTGACTTATTTATGCTCAAGGAAATCATAGGACCATTTCCAGGAGGTGGTGGCAGTGGCTCCTGCCCACATGAATACTGGTGATGTTGACCTTAAACAGCCTGAAATTCTTTCTAGTATTTTTCCCCATTTTTAATCCTGCTCGCTTAACTTTATAATATTTTCCCTGTTCAGGAGTTAGGGAATGAAACTAGGGCCCTCAGGAAAAAACCAAGAAGCTAGGGAATAAAATTGGAACCCTCAAGAAAAAATCAGTACTAAGATGCAATTTTATTAATTCATTTATCAACATTTATTCATTTTGACTAGGGAACAGTATGAAAGCAAACTTTAAAAAAATTTCACTGTTAATTTTTTCATGAGAAATAAATAATTCTAAAAAGCTAACTAAGTCAAAAATGCCTATTTACTAGGGCATTCTATATCCAGATCTATAAATTATACTTATCGGAAGTTTTTTCCTTTCACTAAAATTTTGTGGCTTTCATACATTAAAAAATCCAGTCTAAGGCACAGTTACATTGACTCTTCCTTGTTATGACTCATGGTTACTGGCAGATTAGCATGCATATTCTTTTTACTTTTGAATAATCAAGTCAGGGAGATCTTAGTGCTTTACTTTTGAGGAAAAGGAAGAACACTCACTTCATCTAATTGCCTGAAGACTAAAAATTGAATTATACTGAATCATAGAGAAGAAAAACAAAACAATTGACAAAAGTATTCATCTAATTAAATTTATAAATTAATAAAAAATTATGTTCATAATGCAACTTGACAAATACAACAATTCTTATTTAGAAAAATATCAGGTTTTGGTTTTAATTAATTACAGGGAGTACAAAATTTGAAAAAGGCAGTGTAGATATGTGCACACATACATACATAGAACAGGGGAGTTTCTCTGGGTCAGAAGAATTACTTCTGGGGTGCCTGGGTGGCTCAGTCAGTTAAACGGTTGACTTTGGCTCAGGTCATGATCTCATGGTTCGTGAGTTCGAGCCCCACACTGGGGTCTGTGCTGACAGCTCAGAGCCTAGAGCCTGTTTCAGATTCTGTGTTTATGTCTCTCTCTGTCCCTACCCTGCTCATGCTCTGTCTTTCTTTCAAAAGTAAATTTAAAAATATTTAAAAATTTTTTAAAAAAGAAGAATTACTGGTATCTGGGGTGGAATGAAGCAGGCATTCACTTGACCACAGCTATTGTCCCACAACTGTCCCACATCAGAGCATTTATTTAGGGGAATAGGGCCTTTCTCTGAGCATCAGTTTCATCCATACACCAAGATTATGGAACTAGATGACCTCTGATGTCCCTTCTAGCTCTAAATTTCTTCTGGATTAACTATTTTTATATATCTTTATCAAATATTTAAGCCTTTATCAATTTCACTCTAAAAAGCCACAGTAGCTCAATAAGTACTTACTGGTTGAATGATTAAATTTGACCCATGTTATGTGTGTTAATCAGCTCAGCTAACAATATATAGGTTATTTCAGTTGTTTTCAGTCAAAGATATGTATCATATCTATGGCATCTTTGTGCAGAAAACTTTATGTAGCTAAATGAGTAATAGGTAAAGCCTGCTTATACTAATGGGGAATTAGTGTTTGATCTTTTAACAGTGAAGTTTTCAGTGTAAGCATTTGAAGAAAGGCTTTGATATTGATTGTGCACTTCAAACTGAAGCATGTCTGAACTGAAACTGGTTCTTTCCAGCGCCACAGCCGTCTGTTCTTATTCATTTCCTCTTTCCTTACTCTTTGCTCTGGCGTGTAAATATTCCTGTACTGTTCTTCAGGGATCTGCAAACTAGAAAGGCAAAAAAAAACACCCATATATCTTGCTTATAGCCTTGTCTAATCCTATCTGTAAGGGTAAAGTAAAAAGATAAATGTTTTTATTTGATAGATTCTAAAATCTGAAGTTTAAAACACTGATCAAAAACAGCAGTAAGACTGTGGTGATGTTCCTTAAATGTAATGAAAGGATACAGTTTTGGTGCAGTTATTTTGAGGTTCTTAACTTGAGACCATAAAAGCTTTTATTTAAACCTATTTGTTAGTTACATGCTTTAAAGATTATTTTAGAAGCTATTTCATCATATTTTACCACCTTCTTTCAGCAAATTACATTAGTTTTGATTTTTCTTTGCTATAGATATCATCAGAATCTCCATGATGCAGGATCTTTTTGAAGATTCCTTATGGTCATAAGTGTCTGCCCATCTCAAATTGATTGGCACATGTTATATAAAAACTATTTGATTTTAATGGTCATTTTTTTAAAAAAGAAAATATCTTCTATTGTCAGCATAGATTACATTTTATTAACTGTCATTTTTCTTTTTGCTCTCTTTATAAATCCTCCCCACCAAACACAAGTACCAGTAAATCCTGAAAACCAAGGTTGACTAAGAATTTGATGGCAAATTAACACTTCCTATCATTATAAAAATGATAATAGCTTTGCTTTTTTGCCAGTCCCATTTTAGAACTAGCTTTATGACTTCTGAGTACTAGCTTTTCTATAAGCCCGTTTAACTGGGGAAACTGAGAACCAGAAAAGTTAAGTGATACACCCAGGCCCCTCTTGAAGCCACAGTAGTCCCAGGATGCAAATGCTGGTTGGCCCAGTGCAACCTCCACCCTGCCTGCCCCATTTGAAAGAGCACTGAAGCACCATTTATGTGTGTTTTTTGCAATCATTTGCCTTTCAGCACATTGTCCAGCATGTGCCAGTAAAAACTTAATTGTTCTTTAGAATGATTGGTGACATTTTTCCTTCTATCTTTTAACAGCATTAACTTTACAAGCTAGCTTTGAATTTTATTACATACTACCATTTTAGGGAGAAAGACTTTCTCTTTGAGAACCTGGATTCTTTCTCCAAGTAACCTCTCTTAATATCTCAGGAGGAGATAACAAATCAAACATTAAGAATTGGAATTGACTCAGGCTCATGTATGACTTCATTTAAAACATCAGTATGTTAATTAATGTTTTCACCCAAAACTATTTTGTAATTATGTCCAAGGGTTGAGACTTGAAAATATTTGACATAATTCATTATTTGCCAACAATAGAAACTAGTAGAATAGGATGGAGCACTTCATAAACACTAGAGTATCAAAGTATCATAGTGCCCTATGTATATTTATTAATATTGGATTAATTCATTTATTAAATAAACATTTACTGAGTACCCGCTACTTTACTGTAAACTAGGTATATGTATACAGCAACAAAGAAGACAGTCTATGCCCTCGTGAAACTTAAGTCTGCTGGGATTGTCAAACAATAAACAACATGTTAATTAGGGATGTGATAAATGGTGGGACAGAAATAAACAAGGTGGTATGATGAACAGTAAATGGGATGGCTAACTTTACATAGCCTTGTTAAGAAAGACCTCCAAAATGGTTATGAAAGAGGATTTCTGAAGTTAAGCATAAACTAGGCATGCAGAGAACGAGGGAGTCAGCAAAGGTGGACTAGGGGACCTCAAGACACAAGGGTTGTGGTTTTCTCTCTGATAACTGAAAATACAAATATTGTCCCAACTACTCTCATAGGAATACTGTGCTGATATCAATAAATGTAAACACAGAATGACCTGGGGCGTCTGGGTGGCTTAGTTGGTTAAGCATTGGACTTCAGCTCATTCAAGTCATGATCTCCAGGTTCGTGGGTTCAAGTTCCACACTGGGCTCTGCTGGCAGCTCAGACACTGGATTCTGTGTCTTCTGTCTGTCTGTGTGTCGCGCGCGCGCGCGCTCTCTCTCTCCCTCCCTCTCTCCCCTTCTCCCCCTTCCCCTCCTCTAGTCACTCTGTCTCCATCTCTCAAAATTAAACATTTAAAATATTTAAAAACAGATAAACACAAAATGACTTAATCTGGGTTGGATATGTATAATAGGCAGTGAAGGAGAAATGGAGGTCTTTTTCTCTACTTGTAGAAAAAAAGAAAATTACTTGGGGGTACAAGAGAGTCGCACAAGAAAGCATTTAGACATTTGTATCTTGATTTCTGTAATCAAACGCTACATTATGTGATGCCAGGTGTCAGTGTAGGTAGTCACAGAAGGCAAAGATCTTGGCCTAGAGTTGGGATTTAGACTGGGCCTTGAGGAATAGGTGAATTTGGATTGGTCACCAGGAGGGAGAAGAGGCTGTTTCAAGGTGAGAAAGCACTCTACAAATAAGTATACCAAGGTTGCAACACACACACACACACACACACACACACACACACACAGTAATTATGCAAAGATAGAGATGTTAACTAAGCTTATTGTAGTAATCACTTCGCAGTGTATGCATGAATCAGATCATCACGGTATACACAATTTTACATGCCAATTGTATCTCAGTAAAGCTGGGATGGAAATCATTTAAGGAAAAAAAAAAAGAAACTAAAGTGGACTGACCTTGAATGAGTGTTCAAGATCATGAAGACTCAAGTTGGAGCTAGAGTGATCTTAGATCATAAACTGGTCTTATTCATAGAGGTCATTGGAAAGTCAGCAGATCAGTTTTAACCTGATGTTTTAGACAAGAGGGAATCATTATTGTTTCTGTAAGAAGAAAGTTGTAAAAAAGATCTGTGTAATACAGATACAGACTAATGGAAACAGGAGGGGAAATCCTGGAGAATGGAAGACTTCTTTTTTTCTTAATGTGCATTTATTTTTGAGAGAGAGAAGGAGAGAGAGAGAGAGAAGCAGAGTGAGAGGGAGACACAGAATCCGAAGCAGGTTCTAGGCTCTGACCTGTCAACACATAGCCAGACACAGGGCTCAAACTTATGAACCACAAGATCATGACCTGAGCCAAATTCGGACACTTAACTGACTGAGCCACCCAGGTGCCCCAAAAGGACCTTCTTTTTTTATCATGCCATTTCATTGTACCCAGTGTTGAAAATAAGGACTATGCTCATGTCACAGAAAGGGAATGAGTTGGATATAAGACATTTAGGGGGAAATGAACATTGACATTTTATGACTAAAGAGTGATAAATCAATAGTCAAAATGCCTCCTCTCTTGGGCCCCACGGACTGGTTGAACAGTGTCAGTGATGGAACTGGGGAAGTTTGGCTGGAATATTAAGTGATTATTTCATCTTGGACGTATTTCAGAAGACAACAAGGCACCCAAATTGTGATGTGAGCATACAAGTAGAAGTACAGCACTAGAGCTGGCCTGGAAAGTTGAATTAGGAAATGCAAACAGGTGATGAGAACTGAGGGCTTAGCTCTTGAGAATGAATGCTGATGATAGGAGTATATGTAATGGGGACACAGTACACACACACACACATACACACACACACTCACACCACACCCTGAGTAGAAGGTACCAAAAGAGTGGTGGGATTAAAGACAAGACAAGGAAGAATTTCAAGCAGTGCTTTCTAAGAAAGTTCTTAGGGAAATACCATTATTATTATCACCATAATGATACAACTAACCTTGTAATGTGATTGCTACGTGTCCTAAGGTCCTTCAGTATAAAAACACATTCATTTCTTTCCACAACCTTCAAAATAGTAAAAAAGCAAATGTGATTGAGTGCTTTTCTTTTCTTTCTTTCTTTCTTTTTTTTTTTTTTTTTTTTTTGAGAGGCGGGTGGGGCAGAGAAGAGGGAGAGAAAGAATGAGGCTCCATGCTCAGTACATAGCCCAAAGTGGGGCTTCGTCTCAGGACAGTGAGATCATGACCTGAGATGAAAGCAAGAGTTGGATGCTTAACTGACTGAGTCACCCAGGCACTCCAGTAAATGCTATTGTTATCCCCCTTTATAGATGAAGAGGCTTAGCACAGAGGGATTAAGCAATTTGTCCAAGAATACTCAATTTGAAGAAGTTGGAACTAATATTCAAATATAGGCATTGTGTTTTCAAAGCCTGCATCCTTAACCTCCCACGCCATATGGTTATAATATCCACGATTGTGTTTTAATTGCATCGTTTGACTTCCATCTTATGTAAGTTTCTTGAAAAAGGAGTTAATTAACAGTTTAAAAAGTGGAAACTAGGAAGTCAACAGATGGCTGGGTGGTGATTGGATAATCACTTTCAGCAGAAAAGAACTTGGAATTCTGTAGAGTAAGGCAGAGAAAGGAAAGAATATACTTTTGGTCTGTTTTTTTTTTCCCCTCCTCTCCTTCTATATACTGTTAGTTGTTGAAATGGGAAATCATCCACTTTAAAGAGAGTTGTGGTAATTTGTGTAAAAAAACAATACTGCTGTTTTCTAGTGCTTTCTATATACTATAAATATCTGTGTCCTCATTTGTATACTAGAGGAATGTGAGTTTATTTAAACTGATTGTCAGCCAAAACTTTACAGTACAACTCATTACTTCCTTAATTTTCATTACTAAATGAGAGATTGGAAAATAGTAGGGTTTTCAAAATAGCATCAACATTGGTGTCACTGGAGTATATTCAGTCTGAGAGCCCAAGTGTGTGCCTGGATTTCTCTGTGGGGAGGCTCAGGACTTAGAGCAGGAATTATGGACGGGAACTCCTCCCTCTGGAGATGCTACACAAGACCTCTTTGACAGTGAGTTTAAAGAACACTTTTCCATTGGCTGGGAAAGGACTTTGTTTCCATTTTTTCCCTACTTTTCAGGGTTTCCCCAGCTGTTCTCACATGTGCTCACGTTGTTTGAGCAAGAGACAAAAGGAAATAGTTAAGTTCCCATCCCACCATGCTCAGTCCTATACAGTATAGGAAGGAGGAGGGGCCAAGCACCTGCTTGCTGCCTCAGCTGTCAGAGAAAATGGTAGCAGGCCTTCCTTCAGTGAGACTGTGAATAGTGTCATCTCATACCCTTCCTAAGGCACAATGTGCTCAAGTGAACTGGCTGCTTAAAAACTTTCAATATTTTCCCATTTTAACAGAATAAAAGTCTTAGACTTACATTTATGACTCTCCATGATTTGGGCCCATGTTGTATATGCCTGACCTTGTTTACCAATATTCCCTCTTTTTTGGTTAGGCAAGCTGACCTATTCCATTTCTGCTACAGGTCCCCACTTGCCTGTGTCTGTGCTTATTACACTGATGGCCCCCAGAAATGCTGCCCACCTCAATCTCTAGTATTACTAGCCCCGTTACACGCTGAGTACAGCCCTCATCTAAATGCTGTCTTCACCATATACACTTACAGAGCGCATCTGAACTTCCAGATGATTTTATCTCCAGTTCTCATTTTATCTGTGTTCTAGATATTTATGTGCATATATCATCTTCCTTATAAATTCTGGGCATAACTTTTACCTAATTTAACTTTGTGTCTTCCATTTCACCTACACTTAACATCAGAGGAAGTTTTAAGACCGCAAATAACTGAGAGGACATATAGGGTTATTGTAATAATATGTCTTTTTAAAACTTCTCCTTTCTGTGTGCTCTACCAAATCAGTGAAGATGGAACAGGACCAGATCTCCCGACTTTCAGTCCAGGACTTACCCTCCAGTAACAGTGATTCTCCTCCTGGTTTGCATGTTGGAATCACCTGACATCACCTGTGGTGCTTTAATAAAAATTGTGATCCAGGAGCCTCAAACCATAGAATTTAGAATCTTGGGAGTGTGACCCAGACATCAGTATTATTCAGGTCTCCCAACAGGATTCTAATGTGCAACCAAGATTAGTAATAAATGTCCCACAGCACAGTGATTCCTGGACCATTCTCTTATTTAAATTTTTTTTTTTTAATGTTTATTTATTTTTGAGAGAGAGAAAGAGACAGAGCACAAGTCGGGGAGGGGAAGATAGGAAGGAAAACACAGAATTTGAAGCAGGCTCCAGGCTCTGAGCTGCCAGCACAGCGCCCAATGCAGAGCTCGAACCCCCAAACCATGAAATCATGACCTGAGCCAAAGTCGACTGCTTAACCAGCTCAACCACCCAGGTGCCCCTGGACCATTCTTACTTTACTAGATAATTCTATTAATTTGAGAAACTTATTTTTTCATATAAAGAAAATTTTAAAGTAGAACAGTGCTAATGTGAGATGATAGTAGAACACTTTTTTGTTTTGCTTACAATAGTAGCTTATGTAACTATTTAACTTTGCAGGTATTTCGAAAGAAAGCAGTGGAACTTGGGGTAAAATTGCTACCTGCGTTTCATACTCCCTCTGGAATACCTTGGGCATTGCTGAATATAAAAAGGTAAAATTCTTCATTTTAACAACATATTGTAAGTTGGAATATTCAATATTGAAATTTAACTGGATGGATAATTTCTTGTATGATGTCAGTGACTGATACCACTGGGAGTCTTGGCATCTGTCATTGTGTTGGAAGCTGGTAGTTTTCCAGGTTTCTTGGCCTTAGATGGGTCCCTTTCATGGGATGGTGTGACCCCAACAGAGTCATCAAAGCCAAACATGATTTGAGGTTTTCACTATTTCCTGGTGATATTGAATATAGTCTCCCTTTGGAAACCAAGAACATCCCATTATCTTTTTTTTTTTTAATTTTTAATGTTTATATATATTTTTAAGAGAGAGAGAGACATAGAGCATGAGTGAGAGAAGGGCAGAAAGAGACACACACACACACACAGAACCGAAAGCAGGCCGCAGGCTCTGAGCTGTCAGCACAGAACCCCACAAGGGGCTTGAACTCACAAAGTACGAGATCATGACCTGAGCCAAAGCTAGACGCTTAACCGACTGAGACACCCAGGTGCCCCAGAACATCTCATGATCTTTAAAATCATCGTCAAAGCATTTCCCTTGCAAATAATCCAAGTCCTAAGAGCGCTTACTTCAGTTAGGCTGCCTGCAGAGATACAGCAGAGCCAGAACCTTGGACTATGTAGAACTCTTGTGTACGAAGCTGGTGTGACAGATGGGGAGCACTGGGCTGGTCTGCCCACAGCTGTAAGCGGGGAAGGGAACTGCTCCAGGGACCCAGGTCAGCCCAGCCTTCTCATCCCATTTGGGTGGAGAATCCTGTTATGCCAAGTCCATGGGAATTTGGCTCCAAGAAAACCTGGGCTAAACAGACTTTCTGGTATTTTCCCAGGGAGTAGTTTGAATTTTCATGATAGTTGAATAGTTTGTCAATAAACAGGTTTATCTTAAGCTCCCTTATTAACCTCTTATTCCCCGTAAGTAATTAGTCACATATGCCTCATTGTGGTGGTGGTGCTGCTACTGCTGCTGCTGCTGCTGATAGCTATTTTATTATTATAAAATATCAAGCTTTGTTCCAGGCTCTCTGCATGTATTACCACATTCAATCCCACAATGACCCAAAAAGGTCAATACTGTTCTTATCTCCATTTTAGTAGTGGGAACTATAAGGAACTTGCATCACAGAGAAATTAAGTAATTTGCCTAACAGCCTATTGTGTGTAAATGGCAGAGATAGAATATGTACTTAGACATTTATACACACATCAATACATGTTAAACAATTTTCTTGTTTTTAGAAATGCCAAGAGGATGTACGGGGTGATTTGGCAGGATTAATGCACATTTATTCTTAATTACTTATTTTAGAGACTTTCTTTCCTAAAATTAATCTTAAATAATCAGTGAAATTAATTAGATGGTTAATAAATCAATTGTCATGCTTTGTTTTCGTTTGTATGTTATATTATTGATACCTTGACATCATACTGTACCTGTTTATAACAGTGTGTGTGTGTGTGTGTGTGTGTGTGTGTGTGTTTGGAGGTTCGTGAGTTTTTTATTTGGCTCATGTAGATCACCCATAAGAGCCATATCTCTGGACTTTGTATTTATAGATAATATTCTGACCTAGAAACAACTCTGCTACCTGAAATAAGACCTGGTTATGAAAACACTTTGCACATTTAACACTTTTTTTCCCTATTTACCCTCTGAGAAAAAATGATATGAACATAATAATACGATGAGTTAAGTGATTACCAGGAGACCTGGTTCTAGGTATTTTAGAGCTACTCTGAGTATCTTTAAAGCAATCATTTCAGCTCTCCAGGATTATTTGTAAACTGGAAGTTAGGCCACTTCAGTAGTTGTTTCATGTACCTTTTCAGATTTAAAAGCCATTTGGACTCCTCATAAAATGCACATTCCTGACTACACATATTTTTACAGTTTCCAAAAGCTAACAGTACTGTCGGAGCCCACTTAGAACCTAAGAACCCCAAGTTTAAAATACTGGACTGAATGATCACTCTAACCTTCTACTCTGAAATTTCTGTGGAACTAATTCGCATTACTTCCTGGAAGGTAATTAGATAAGGCCTTGCTGAAACTAGCAGAGAGAGGTGTGCACCTCCATCATTGCTGAAGTCAATGATTGTAAGGTGCTCATATCATTCAGTTAGTTCTAGCCTCTCTCAAAATAAGCATAAGAAATTAGATTATTTTCAAGCATATTTAATTTTACTTAGTGTTTGCTTCCAACAGCCAAGAGGATTTTTTCTTAGTTAAAAGTATCTTTAGTGTACAGTGGAGATAGTTTGCAGTACATAAAGGAATACTTCTGAAAAATACTGAATCCTCTATTATCTTTTGTATCTATACCTCTTTAAATTTCTTTAAATGGGGTATAAAGTTTTTTTATAAAAGCTTATTTTGAATGTATAGTATTTTATTTTGAATTTTTTAATTTCAGAGGTTACAGGAAAATTATATATGTTAAAAACTAATGTGTCATATTATGTATTCTCTAATGCTTTCCTGTCAAACTAGAGGAAATTAGGTGACCATTTGACAGCTGGTGGGAACACTTTGAATTTCTTCCAGGGCAATTCGTATAAAATTTTTTATTATATCTTTTTTTCCATTCTCAATCCCATTTACTAAATAGCACTGGCTTGTCCAGATTCACAAAATAAACTATGGCAGAATTAATAGTGATATCAATCCGCTGAAATTCCTCATATCCCTTTGCATAATCAAGTATACTCATTGAATTCATTCTCCTTCCAGCTGTGAGGCTTATTTATCATCTTAAAGAATATCCTCTAGGAAAAGAAGCCAGAGTTTCATATTTATCTGTAATAACTGCATTTCAGGATGTGTTGTTCGTGTCAACCTGGGCATATATGCTGTTTCCTCTGAGCATCTGTATTTTTACAGTATAGGCCAGAGGACAGCTGGAATGGAGCTTCTTTTCTAGTTTTTTGACAACTGTCACCAGTAAAAGTTTCAAACGAGAGGGGAAAAATATGTCTGGCAAAAACATATTTTCTTAATTATCTTCTCAGGATAAGGGAGTGTCTGTGGAATGATGCCCACAAGAAAAAAAGTGCTTGAGGATGCTTTCTAGAATAGAATAGCTACATACTCACTGTTGACTGGCTTTGAAAATTTTGGCAACAATTATGAGAGAGGTATAGAATATGTTCCCTGTATTATCATAGTTCCTCTCCTTCTCAATTTTAAAAATATGAATGCTGCTTTTTGCCAAAACCTAAATGTTAACAAAAAAGGTGACCTTATTGGTATTATCTATTCACATCCCTCTAGTATTCAGATTATTGCCTGAAGATAATTGGTTTCTTTACCTTTCTGTTGTAAGGAAAAAAACATTTATTTTAGGCCCTGCTGTGATGAAGTTTCTATGCTGGGTCCTGGGAAGATTTTCTGTTTCTCTTCACTTTATTTAAAAAGATAACCAACATGATCTTTCCCTCAGGGTATTCACGTCCTGGTTGGTAAAGCAGAATACATATTTTATATGTTACTGTATTATACACTCGCTCATGTAATTGAAGAATGTAAGCTAGTCTATGCCAAGGAGAGATAATAAAGACTCACTGAGTTGATTTTAAAGCAAGCAGTAGTTTGAATTGAGGAGGTTTATGTATTTGGAGCCAAAACACCAATAAGCCAAATTGGATTTCAGCATTTGTGCAAACTGAGAATAGCAGAGAATCTAAATAATTTACTCATATTCCACATTAGGAATTCTGTCCCAAAATCTGTTCAGAAAAAATATATATGTAATTATCTCTTTTGCTACAGATATAATAATTCTTAATTTAAGAGCTGCTATATTATATTGTAAATTAATCAGAATTGTGATTTAATGGCACATGGTAATTTGAACAGATACTTAGGTGTCATGCACAGGACCTGATTTGACTAACATACTAGCTTCACCAATACAATAGTAGAATGAAGATGTGTGTATTATATAACACCTCTGCTAAAAGGAAAGCATGGCCTTTTTAATAGATTAGATTTTTGGTAGAACTCAATTTCTCTAATGTGAAAATGTCAAAATTTGATGTCTGATCTTATTATTACTGTGAACAGGAGGCCCTCTGCATTCTTTTCCTCCACCCTACAGAAGAAAAATCACCTCTGTGGTTTGTAAAATCAAGCATTTCACTATTTCTATATTTCTAGGTATAATTCAAGCCTAGGTAAACTTATTAGATTTGGGGTTTTCTCCAGTGTGTTCTTAATTTAAAATAATATAGTTAATGTTCCCATTACTCATTTCTATCACAGTGCATACAGTCTGGGCATTCCTAATAATTATTCTGTCTTTCTTGATAAAT